GTTGGAGTGGGATTGTGGGTATCTTTGTGAACTCATGGTATGTTGGTTCAGGTTCTCTAAAAAGCTGATGCCAAGATAGAATTAGACATGAAAGAGATTAACTAGGGGAAACCCTTGGGTGGGAAAATGGGAAGGGAGCTGAAAGAAGCTGGGAGTGCCATCAGACTGCAGTGCAGTCCTAATCTCTGTGGCAAAGGGTGGGAGGAAAGGAAGGTTGAATTGGAAAAGTCTAAGCTCTCCAAGTTCTAAGAGAGTTACCACCAAGCCAACAAGGAGTCCTCAAGCCCAAGTTGCCATCAGAGGAGTCCCACATCTCTCAGCAATAGGCCTGCCTTAGTATCTGCTGTGCTCAGGCAAGCAGCAGCTGGTGGGAAGCATAGCCTTGGCTGAAACAGTGATGGATTTCAGAGCACAGCAGCTGGGACTGTCAGTCAATTACACTTCCTGCAGTCATAGATCGGAGAGGCACATTTTCATGACTGCTGCACATGGTTTTCAGTAGTTATAGATTGATATAGAAATAAACGTATAGAAATAAAGATGTAAATGTGGGCTATTTAGATAAATGGCTTAATTTCAGAGCTGCAGAAAACCGTACAAGATAAGCCTGGAACATGTTGTTATACCAGAAAGCAAAGAAGTGCTCAAGGAATGATGGGGGTGGGGACATGTCCACTGGACACAGAAACCAGCTTGACATGGCTCCTGCTGGGCAAATTGGGAACAATTTTAGTATCACAACAAATAATGATAGTAGTGGATTATGACTTTAAATAAAATGACATTCCATGATATTATATTGATATAATTAAATAAATGAATAACTTGGGAATTTGAGGGATAAAAATCACATAATTCAAAGGGTCTCCTCAGAAAATACCTATCAATCATAAAGAGGAAAAGAGTAACTTTACAGTGGAGAAACTATGCTAATCAAGTGATCAAAGTGAACATTATCAGTAAATTGTACATTTCATAGGAGGCCAAGGGAACAATACATCTATCACTTCTGTGATATTCCTGCCAAAGATGCATAATTTGCATCTGATCACAAAGAAACATCAGACAAACCAAAATAACTGGCCTGTACTCTTCAGAAGTGTTAAGGCCATGGGGTATAGCCTAAGAAAGATTGTGGAACTGTTGTAGACTAAGGAAACATGGATCCTTTTTCCCCCTAATTATTCTATCGGAATAATTGACAACATTTAAGTAGTAAATTTGTGGATTAGATGGTAGTAATGTGTCCTTATTGGTATCCTGGTTCTACTCATTATTTTTTGATTTTGTAGGAAAATATCCTGGTTTATAGGAAATGCATACTGAAGGTTTTGGGGGTGAGGGTATAACAGGTGGGTTACTCCCTCGCAAATGGATCAAAGAAGGATGGCATGTTCTTTGTTACATACAGTACGTCCAACTTTTCTGTAAGTTTGTTTCAGAATTACACACATACACACCAGTTAAGTAATCAGGATGATCTTAGACAGTTATCTGACCTATCAGTGTGTTGCTATTCCAGTCTTGGGGTAGGGGTTAGGCGTGGGGAAGGCAGGCAAAAATGTGACCAATTATAAACTACTATAATTAAAACCTACTTTTTAAGAATCCTCTTCTCCTGCATGGTCATAGAATACCTGTTCACCATGTTGGCAGAGTATACTACCCCATGATTTCGAAGGTATAATGGGAAAGTATGAGCTTTTTGCAACCTGCTTGCTGGGGAAACAAGTGGACGGGGAAGATGTCAACTATGTGAAGACCTTTTGAGAAAGCCCGTATGTGAGGCCTAAGTTGTTTGTATCAGGGACACCTCATCATGCCTGATGGCAGTGGTTCGCTTTTACCAGAACCTAAACTTCTTAGTTTGGAGAAGCATTTCAGTCCCAGCACTAATTCTTTGTGTTTGTAGCTGGTACAAAGATGATTTCCTGTTAGACTTCCAAGGCTGTTAGGTCCTTTTTTGTATGCTGATTATGAATTATCCATTTGAGCCAGACATATGTAATTGGAGTAGAATTACTGATACACTCAAGAAAGCAGAACTTATAAATTTGTCTAAAGCAGCCTAATGCCATGGCACATAATTTAATGTTCTCTTTTTTCCACTGGGCGACTGATCAGTGCACCCGTGTCAGGTTCTGAGCCATCTTTGGCCAAGGGGAAAGTCTCCTGACCTTTCATTAGTAGCCAAAAGAAATGAATGAGAGAGTCAAGTCCATGGATCTAGGCTAATTCCATTTTTCTCTCTCTCCCTTTCATTCTCTTTAAATTCAAATTTTAGATAACGGGGAGGGGAAAGACAAAAGCTGGTAAGGCACGTTGAAAGCTTTTGTCCTTAATTCTATGCTGGGCAAGCTTGGTTAATAGTTGCTTAGGATAATAATGTTCCAGGGCTGTATTTCCAAAACGTTCGGGTGTTTTTCTGATGCTCCAAAGAGTATCTCAAAATTTTCAGGATGTATTAAAACAAAGTTAAAGGAATGTACTGTGATTTTGCCACATTTAAAAAATAAGTCTAAATAAACTAAGTTCATTCAGAAAATAGGTACTGCCTACTTTATGTCAGCTATTATAGGGCTAGGCACTTAAGTGCAGAAAGATGCAGCCCTGGCCCTCGCAGACATCATAATTTAGAAAGGAAGATAGAGAGTCAATTAATAATTGTAAGATGGTATGATGAATCCTCACAGGGGAATATACACCAAGAAGAAAATACATGTGATGTTATTTTCACATGTCTGGCTTATTAAACAGCCAGTAATGACAGCTGTTATTATTTCATGTGGTTTTCCTCTGCTCACTAAGCACCAGCACCACTGTTCCTCCACGAGAAATCTGTAATTAGGGATAAGAAGTGAAGAGAACATGGCTTATGCTCTATGCTGTGGAGAGAAGGAAGAGGCTGGTAGTGGGCAGGTTGTGGAGTGGGAATCTGAGGCCTTATCTGCTTTGTCTAATAATGTCTGTTAGCTGACAGGATACAGAAGGGAACGATTGTGCCCTTGGTTCTCTGCTGGCCTTGTAGGTACTCAGTTCAGTTCTGTGAATTGATTTGAGCAGCATTAACGGGTGGATCATTAAACATTTGTGCTGTTTTGCTTCGCTTTCTCTGTCTTTTCACGTAGAGGCTTATTTGTGTGAATCTTTTCTTGCCTGCTCAGTCATTCCAGCTTTCTCTTCCAAACCCCCTGTATTGACTATAAAATGTCAGTGCACAGAAGTTCAAAATGCAGGAACAAATATGTCTTTGTTCTTTGGGCATTTCTAATCGCCAAGACCTATCTCACCCCGCCACAGGTGGAGTTGTCCCCCAGTCTCCTCTCTGACCCGTTGGTGGGTGGGGCTGCTCTCCTGCCCTTTGGGGCTTCTTGGTGACACCCTTAGTTAAATTCTCACCATATATCAATACCTACAGCTGCTGATTCGGGGCTGTTGGCATTCTCCCCGCTGCCAAACCCAGCTCTGTGATAATGACAGCGTTTGCCAGCACGCTTATGCGGTGACTCAGGAGACAGGGTGGCCAGCAAAGCAGCCTCTTTGTGGGAGTGGATTTTGAGAAGTGCTAATTCCGTGGCGGTTTGGAGATATTAATATCGTCCTGGCAGTAGATAAACAGGCAGCAGAGGGGCACATAATGAGAGTCAGCCATAGCATCTTTTCCTCTTTTCTCTACCCGCACATATTTTTTTCTTCTTCTTTTAAAAAAGTAAATTCCTGGGTTTTGATGAAGAAAACCCTTCAGTGGCTTAAACCTGCATGTAGAGTGGTTAGTCCAGCTTCCAGCATCTCCAGAGTCTGAGGTTCTAAGAACACTAGTGTATTAAGAGGTAACTACATTTCTAACAACACTAAATCCTAGCATATGGTACAGTAGCCTATTGCTTACCCTACCTCCTCCCTGAAGGGCAGCTAACCAGATGGTTTGAGCAGGGCCTTTGGTGTAACTATGACAGACACCAAGAGAGACATAACCATCACTCTCCCCCATTAGTATCATGCCTCTTGTCCTCCAGTGCTTGCTACAGGTAATTTTTGAAAATTTTGTTTTTGCAGTTTGCAGCTTATTTTGCTTCACATCAAACGTCCCTTTCCAGCTTGGGGAGGAATCGTGCAAATTTTTATTTGTTGTCTGAGAGTCCTTTCCAGCATACTCTTCTCTAGTTAGAGGATATGGAGGCCACTTACAGTGGCACCTCTTATTCTGGTGAAGAAAAGAAGATCAGACACATTTGAGAAGTGCTTTAAGCAGGGTTTTAATCTGACTATTTCTGTAGTCCTAAAAGGACTCTTTATTTGGAGTATTGCTCCAAAGCTGGTCATCTCTGATTTTATACTTTTTACCTAATTCCCCCCCCCCCCATCTCATGCCATTTCTTCATAAGGAATTTTCATTCCACCATAGGAACACGACCACCACCCCACCCCACCCCCCGCCTGCCACCAAATTCATTCATAGCCTTACCTTCTAGAAGCCCCTTTTGGGTGGAAGAGCCACTGTCTGAGAAGACAGAGAAGCACTGGGGGGTTATGTTAAACTAATCTTTCTAACATTGCCAAGCTGAAACAAGGCACTTTTCTAGAGTATAGGCTAGAAAGGAGATTTTAAGAAATTTAGGTCATGCTTTTATGTGTTTTGTTTTTTATCTGTGTGCCTGATATTTTAGAGAAGACTTTTCTTGAGGGTACTGGCTTGTTTATAACATTCTGTAAATAGCCCTGCCTAATGTGGGCTTTTTACAGATACTTTCTGCTAGTTCTTATGTATGGATTGATACAGCATCTGACTGTAGTAACCAGAAGAATGCTGAGCTAGGGAACTTTGTTATTCCACCTTTTATTGGGATTTCTAGCCTAGCGACTTACTGGTCTTGAAATCCTTGGCTTCTCCCTCCTGTGTCAGGACGCGTTAAGACCTCCAGGTGCTAACTGTTATTATTTCTGTTGACTGAGCCCCATATGCACCTCTAGTGCTCACTGACCTATCTTTTCTGTTGCAGAAACATTGCTGAGGCCCTTGTCAGCAAAGGTCTGGCCACGGTGATCAGATACCGGCAGGATGACGATCAGCGGTCCTCTCACTATGACGAGCTGCTTGCTGCAGAGGCCAGGTGAGACGAAGAATTCTAAAGAGAACACGTTGAGACCAACAGCCCCACTGTTCTTCCTTCCCACTATACTGCCTATCCCTGAGCAGAAGGGGATGGAAAGCAATATGCTGAGAAAGCTTGTAGTATGCTTTTATCCCAGTTTTTCCCCTATCAAAAGAAAAGGGGCACACTTTGCGTGTGCTGTGTAACCTTGATTAAGTACACTTGGGCCTCCATTTTTTTAAGTCTGGAAAATAGGCATGTATTAGATATGATCTCATGTAGATGCCAAATGAATCGTAGGTGAGAATATAAGATATTTTTACCACCACCATCCTATCATTCCCTGGGACTAACAATGAAGTTCTGCCTCTGTGTGCAGGACATTTGCCTCAGGTTCTTACCTCCAGAGACCTCTGCTCCCCAGCCCTTCCCATTTATCACCTCTCGACCTTTTGTCATGTACAAAGGAAATGAAAACATTTATTACGAAATGAGTTTTTGTTTCCCACTTCTGACAGCTGGCAGGGGAGAGCATTTGAGAAGCCCTGTGACATTTTACTCTTGTCCTTCATCCCTGCGGCTGGTTGCCCCAAGGACGTGCATACTACTTGGTATTATTTCTTACCAGTGACATTCCTTAGGGTCTTACTCACAGAGACTTCTGTCACTGGGTGGTGCTGGTAGTTTAGTAATTCCCAGACTTTCCAGGAAAGAGCAAAAAATGAGCTATTGGTGAACTGACTTGGGTAGTTCAGCAGACTGCACACAACCAAAATATAGCCACTGTTTCGAAGAGGCGCATGTCGCACTCAGCCACTTATTTAGTTCTAGAAGTTCGGTAGTTGCCAGGTTATGCTCCACAGTTTGAGGAATGAGTTTGGGCCCATGTTATCTATACCTCAGACTTTGTCATTGAGATCACTTCTTTTGCTCTTTGGCCCAGAACGGTGCTCTGATATGTGACATTTACCTCTAACACCATGTCATATCCTGATGGATAGAGCATCTGTAGAATGTCACACAGAATGTCAGCTAAGAAATCAGCCTGTCAGACTATTGTAGCTTTTTGGATTCTTTCTTGTGGGTTTTTCCCAATAGACCCTATCTAAAACCTAATTCATGAACACAGAGTTCAGTGAAAACACCAGTATCTTTGGTTGATTAAGGCTCTTTAATGGCCAGCATAAAATAATATGATATATAATCCATAATTGGTGTTTCTCCTGATCCTCACTTCTTCCTTCTCTCCCTGCCTATATTATCACTAAGGCAGCCTGGCTGAAAGAACCCATATTGGGAAATGCAGCTTCATATTGTTAAGTACTATTTGATGATCTAGATACTCTAGGAAATGGATAGTAATTAGACCACACTTCAGTGGGATTCAGAGGGTGAGTCTGTGCTCAGTCTGTGGGTGGGCTCAGAGTGACCTGGTGGTAACTTGAAAAACAGGTTATAAGTTCCCAGCATAGGAGGAGCACTAAGCAATACAGTGGGAGCTAGACTCCTGTTTTTGGCCCAGTGTCACTCTGCCACTAGTGAATATTTGTGACAGGCAAATATACATGAAAATAATTTGCATAGCTGCTCTGGAAAGTAAGGCCAAAACAAACTTTCTTCTTCTTCTTTTTTTATCTTTTAATTTTTTTAAAAATAACCTATACACCGAATGTGGAAGGCTTGAACGCATGACTCTGAGATCAGGAGTCACATGCTCTACCGACTAAGCACACAGTAGGTAGACATGTACTATGTCTAATGAGGATGCATAGATAGTGAGAGCTTTTTTATAGATTATGTTCTAAATATATTTTAAATTTTTATTTAAATTCCAGGTAACATACAGTGTAATATTAGTTTCATGTGTATAATACAGTGATTCAGCACTTGCATACATCACCCAGTGCTCACCACAACAACAGGTATACTCCTTAATCCCCATCACCTATTTCCCCTGTCCACCTCCCCTCTGATACCATGAGTTTGTTCTCTATAGAAAGAGTCTGTTTCTTGGTTGGCCTCCCTCTTTCCCCCCCGCCTTTGGTCGTTTGTTTTGTTTCTTAAATTCTACATATGGAGTGAAATTATATGGTATGTGTCTTTCTCTGACTGACTTACTTCACTTAGCATTATACTCTCTAGCTCCATCCATGTTGTTGCAAATTGCAGGATTTTGTTCTTTTTTATGGCTGAATAATATTCCTGCCTGTGTGTGTACACACACCACTTTATCCATTCATCAATCAGTGGACACTTGGGCTGTTTCCATAATTTGGCTGTTGTAGATAATGCTGCTACAAATATTGGGGTGCATGTATCCCTTCGAATTAGTATATTTGTATTCTTTGGGTAAATACCTAGTAGTGCAATTGCCAGATCATAGGGTAGTTCTATTTTTAACTTTTTGGGAAACCTCCATACTGTTTTCTTTTTCTTTTCTTAAGATTATTTATTTATTGGGGTGCCTGGGTGGCTCAGTCATTAAGCGTCTGCCTTTGGGTCAGGTCATGATCTCAGGGTCCTGGAATCGAGCCCCGCATCGGGCTCCCTGCTCCGCGGGAGGCCTGCTTCTCCCTCTCCCACTCCCCCTGCTTGTGTTCCCTCTCTCGCTGTCTCTCTCTGTCAAATAAATAAATAAAAATCTTAAAAAAAAAAAAAAAGATTATATATTTGTTTATTTGTCAGAGCACAAGCAGGGGGAACGGCAGGCAAAGGGAGATGCAGGCCCCCCCGCTGAGCAAGGAGCCCAGTGCGGGACTTGATCCCAGGACTCTGGGATCATGACCTTAGCCGAAGGCACATGCTTAACCAAATGAGCCACCCAGCAGGTGTCCCTCCATGCTGTTTTCCAGAGTGATTGTACCAGTTTGTATTCTCACCAACAATGCAAGAGGGTTCCCCTTTCTCCACATCCTCACCAACACCTGTTGTTTCTTGTGTTGATTTTAGCCATTCTAACAAGTGCAAGGTGATTTCTCATTGTAGTTTTGATTTACATTTCCCTGATGATCAGTGATGTTGAGCATCTTTTCTTGTGTCTGTTGGCCATGTGTATGTCTTCTTTGGAAAAAAAATGTTCATTGTCTCTGCCCATTTTTTAATTGGATTATTTGTTTTCTGGGTATTGAGGATAGTGAAATTTTTAACTTTGAGGTTTTAGGAAGAAAACAACTTCTTTAGCACTCATTTTAAGCAGAATCAATGTAACAACATGCTTGTCTGTTAAAGCTGTAGGCAGCCTAGAGATAATTGTGTTGAGCCGTTGCTCTCAGACTGGTGGTGGAAAAAGTGGCTTCAGGGTCATTGCAGTGTTGTAGGTTGAGTAAACAGAGAGGAATTAACCACTTCCACACGCCTGTGAGGCATTGCCATAAGGCAGTAAGACCTAATAAAGAAGTAGGAGAAATGGCCAGCGTGACCTGTGAGTCTTCCTTTAAACAATATTGTTAGCCCCAGAATGGCAGCCCAGTGCCATCCTCTAGATACGAACCCCCAGCAAGGTGAAAGAAGATCGGAGAAAGACTGGAACACCCGCCAGATGGGAATGGTGGTTCTGTAGCCATTAAAAAATGTTTTCAGTTCAGAATGCAGTCTCCCCCCGTTTTAGTGGTAGAGTTGACCTCGCTTGAAGACCACCCCTTTGCTGGCAATCAGCTTTTAGTTTGCTTTCCCTTTAAAGCACTCCATTCCCCCATGACACACTCCTCATGTTCCCTTAGCATTCTTACTTGGTTCGGTCACATTACAGCATGTCAGAGCTCTTTTTACATGCTTCTGCTTCCCCTCATCCTGCCTGTCTGTTGAATATTATTCGAGTTTAGGGTTGTTTTCCCCTAGATAGATGAGCTATTTTTTCCAGTTGAACTCTGCCTTGTAATTTTATGCCCCGTTGGTGCGGTTCCGCCGCCTCCCAGCTTAGTGTCCTCTGCAGATCTCATTAGCGAGTTGTTTCCTCCTTTCCTGGGCCCTGAATAGAACCCCTAAACAAGAATGGCTTTGGTGTTGACCCCAAGTCTCTCACTGCATGGACTGTCACTTAACTGTCTTTTGATTATCATCCTTCAGCTACTTTTTAACCTTCGGTGATTGTGTGCTGAACCAAGCCAATTTGAATTAATTTCCCAAGTACAATTTCTTGAGGTGCTGTATCTAATGCTTTAGCAAAGGCCAAATTAATACCATCTGCTATATTCTTATCAGTCTTTCATCCTGGAACTCGTTGGGTAAATAATATGTGGATGTAGGTGACGTAGCAAGGCCAGCACTTTCTTTAGCCCTTCCTCTCAGGAGTGTTGATTCCAACAGATTGCTTTGTCCCTGACCTCTAGATTCCTGTTTTTCCCTCTGGTTATCACTAGTGATACCAACATTGGTGCACAGTGCTCTTCCATTGACTTTGCTTTCCACAGCACTGCTTGGCCATTAATCCTTTTAGAGAAACATTGTAAGCTTCGGGGAAAGGGCAGCCTGTTAACTCGGCTGACTTCGAGGGTCAGCGCAACTGCCTGCCCAGGACTTGATGAGCTTTCTCCGGGCTCTGCAGCCGCTGCTTTCCCCACCAGAGGGGCTATGTTCTGCCGCACCTTCGCAGGCCATGTGGTTGGAGCTCCGGGAGTGAGGCGTTGTGTGCTCATTGGGAAGCCAGGAGAGAGACGGGAGAGGAAAAGTACCAGTTTGAAGTTTGCCTGCTGCTTTCAAGCGTATCCACCTGCCTGCCAGAGACAAGCTCCTAGCATCTCGGCAGCTCTGTTCAGTGTGCTGACCCTTCGAGGCCCCTTCATTCACCTGCCTCTCTGCTTTTGGGAAACCCTCATTATACCTCCAGTAGCTGGCGTATTTAGAGGAAAGCACATCTTTTTTTGTTGAAAGGATAAATAAACCCCTAATTCCCAATAGGCACCTTCCTTTCCAGTTCACTTGTCTATCATCAACTGCCTCCTCCCTCATTACCTTGTGTCCTGGCAAGATGAGGTTTTGGCATTTTTGCTGGTACTCTCACAGCTTGCTTGTCTTGTGGG